TATTCACGCGAACGCAAGGAGTGCGTTCGTTGAGTAAAGTTGCCCGTTCCCCGGGAAAATGGACCCCACTAATTTTCTTTTTCAAACAAACGCACTATTTTTTCACGCGGGGGCAAGGGTTGCATACGTTGAGTATGTTGCGTTCATTTGATAAATTTAAATGTTGGTATGTTCGGTAAGAAAAAATAAGAATTCACGAGAAAGAAGAAGACATTATTTTTTTTATTTTTTATGTTGTTTTGTTTTGTTTTGACTCGAAGAAATTATTATTATTATTTTTTAAAGAAAAGCGTATGGGTGTGATATATACTATTGTTAATTTAATTGGATCTTTCCCCTTATATTTTTCACGTGCTTCTTTTTTAAAACTATTTAAAATTTTGTTCTTCAAATTTTTCACATAAGCCTTGTACCAAGGGATTTAACGGTTATTTTAACTCCGATTTTGATGATTTTTATAGCTACACTCCTTGACCCTATATGAATACAATGAAGTAATTCGATCGTCAATTTAAAATATTTACACTGGTGGATACCCCAAAATCTTAAGTTATATTTAACAAAAGTATAAATAAACTCTTACTTGCTAGTGAATATATTGTTTTGATGGCATATGCATTAAAAAAAACTAGTTTCAACGATCCAACCGTCAAACTTATTTGTTTATACTTCAAGATCATATACGCCAAAAATCGGAAAAAATAAACATTCAGAGATCAAGTAACGGGACAAAAAATTTCGACGGTTATAAATGAAAAATCACGATTTAACGGTTATTTTAACTCCGATTTTGATAATTTTTTACAGCTACACTCCTTGACCCTATATGAAAACAATGAACTAATTCAATCGTCAATTTAAAATATTTACACTAGTGGATACCACAAAATCTTATGTTATATTTAACAAAAGTATAAATAAACTCTTAATTGTTAGTGAATATATTGTTTTGATGACATACGCATTCAACAAAACTAGTTTCAACGATCCAACCGTCAAACTTGTTTGTTTATACTTCGAGATCATATACGCCAAAATCGGAAAAAATAAACATTTAGAAATCAAGTACTGGGACAAAACTTTTCGACGGTTATAAATGAAAAATCATGATTTAACGGTTATTTTAACTCCAATTTTGATGATTTTTTACAGCTACACTCCTTGACCCTATATGAATATAATGACTGAATTTGATCTTCAATTTAAAATATTTACACTAGTGGATACCACAAAATCTTATGTTATATTTAACGAAAGTATAAATAAACTTTTAATTGTTAGTTAATATATTGTTTTGATGGTATACGCATTCAAAAAAACAAGCTTGACTAGCTTCAATGATCCAACCGTCAAACTTGTTTGTTTATACTTCGAGATCATATACGCCAAAAATCGGAAAAAATAAACATTTAGAAATCAAGTACTGGGACAAAACTTTTCGACAGTTATAAATGAAAAATCATGATTTAACGGTTATTTTAACTCTGATTTTGATGGTTTTTTACAGCTACACTCCTTGACCCTATATGAATACAATGAACTAATTTGATCATCAATTTAAAAAATATATTTTCTAACAAAAACCCAATCCGAACAACAATAATATATTTTTCTAACAAAAATCTGATCCGATCTAAAATAATAAATTTAAAGCTACTTAATAAAATATATATATATATATATATATAACGTTTAATTTCTTAAGTGTTATGCATACAAAATAAAAAAACAAAAATAAATTGGTTTAGGCGACGAAATGTTTGGATTACGCCATGCAAAGATTTAAAAAAATATATTTTTTATTTTTATAAGGACTTTGCGCCACGAATTGTTTTTCGTCGTGCAAAATTTGGTCGCGCAAGACTTTATGCTACGATGTATTGTCGTCGTGCAAAGTCACTTTGGGCGACGAATTGTTTTTCGTTGCGCAAAAGTTGGTCGCACAAGGTTTTGAGCGACGAAGTTTTGAGTTTCGTCGCGCAAAGTGACTTTGAGCGACGAATAATTTTTCATCGCACAAAATTTGGTCTCGCAAGAGTTATTTTTTACTAGTGTAATCAACATTTTATTTTCAAACTTTTCATTAACGCACATTACATACCACTTATATTTCATCATATGTATATCTTATTATTAGTAAATTTTGAGTTTTATTTGTTCAATACATTTATTGATAATGTACATAACATTTGTGAAAGTTTTATACCAAAATTATGTGTTTCAATGCCTATATCTGTCTTTTTTTTTCCCGATACCTAAAACAATAACAATATATCCCCCGAAATATCCGTAAATTGGAGGCCCAATATTATTTGCATGACTGATATTTTAATCCTTGGCCTTACCTCTATGAGGTGAATAAATTGGATTCAGATCTCGAGTAAATAGCTTAGATTTACAGTATGGCTCTCAATTGCAATGTTAAACCCTACATTAGTTATATTCATTTTAATTTTTTTGGTCTAAATATAATATAGATAGTCTAATTATTCTTTTCTATGGGTATCTATACATTATTATATAATATTTAATTTCTTTTAGTCAAATATAATATTTTAATGAGTATATAGTATATGTAACAATTAAAAAAGAGAACCAATTTTTTTTGCCAAGAAAAATGGAGAACCAATTAATCGGTCACTTATTTTGAGCGATAGGATTATTAGTGATACCAATGGATGGTATGCTGATATTTAAGGGGTTTATTTATTTATTTAAATTATATGCTTATTAGGCTTTAGGGTCTAAGTTATGAAGTGTAACAACGATTTCTTATACTTATTCGACTTTAGGAAGGAAGTTACAAATTCAATTGCGATATGAGTAATGTGTAATTGAACGTAATTTGTGTCGTAAGCATTTGTATTGACAACTATGCAATTTCCAAATAGTGGAAAGAATTTCAAAGAGGCTACGTCTTTGTCGATGTTTCAGTTGTTAATGCATGTCCTAGAATTGTTGTGCAATTGCATATCTATTGTAAATAATTGCATATAAAATTTCAAGACATACTGTGAACTTATATGTAATTACTCATAATAATTGGATAATTGTAAAAAGACTATGCAATTGCACGTACCATGACGCAAAAACGGAATGACTCTGTATAGATTAATGACTCTGAATGTAGCAAATTGCCCATCCACTAAAAATAGCTAACCCATCCCCTCCTTCCCTTCCCGACACCTCTCCCCCATTCCCTCAGCTCCCTCCCTCTCTCTCTATCTTCCCGTCTAAAAGAAACACAAACATAAAAATCAATCAAACCAAGACATCAAGAATCAAACACAGCTCCATCAAACCCGAACACAATTAAACCCAAAAATCAATCAAACCCATCCCAGCTTCTCCATTTTTCACATATTTCGCAGGAGATGGAAGTTTTCATCAGTTCATGACTGCAACTTTGTGTGCATCTGCTCCATTTGGATTTAGTAGAAGGGCAGCAACTAGAGATTTAGTACAAGCCATAATAAATAATAGTTGAGGTTTAATGAATCAAAGGTGAATCAGATTTGGGGAAATAGTAGAAATCAAATAAATTTGGGATTTCTAAGAAGAGGGTTCTCAAGATTTAAGCATGTGATAAGATAAATCAGTCATGATACTATGTTAGAATTGAGCCAAACAGAAAGAAAATGAACTAGAGTCTAGAGAGAAGGGTAGGTGAGGTATTAGGAAGAAGGGGAAGGAGTGTCGTGGGGGTGTTTTTAAAACAAGGGAAAACGGCTGTGTTGGTTAACAGGTTAAAGCAAGGGGAAAAATTGACGCTCAGTTTGAACTTCAACCAGATGTTGCAGAGAGGAGGAAGATCACGAAGAGGATGACTTTGAAGACCACGAAGAGGAGTTGAACAAGATGACTTTGAAGACCAGAAATCAGCTTGAACTTCAACAGATGCGTTTAGGGAAGAAGATGACATCCACAGTAAGGCGCGTGAATTCGTTTAACTTGGTGACCTGCTGCTAAGGTTTCTCCTGTTTTTAAAAAAACCTCACGTGACCTCACGTGATGGGCTGTACCGGTGCACCCGATGCACCACAGACGTACTCCATAAATCGATATATCAAAAACTAATCTCTTTTAATTTCCTAATTATTGGACCAAAAAATTTCAGAAATTAAAACACAGCTTGAATGCAGGTTTTCACATATGCACTCGAGCTTGGTCCATGAACGCTAGAGTCTACAGAAAACATGCAACAGCTGCTTCTCGATATGCCAATCTCAGTTTTAGTTCCTCTGGAATTTCAGTACTATCTTCCTGACCTGTTTCAAACGTGCCCTTTTGCTGCAAATTGACAAATAAATACATGAACATGTGAGGCAGCTTTCTGCACCACCCTTCATAGGACAATTGCAGAGACCAAAAACGCTGGTTGGAATTATAATCATGAAATCAACTAAAGATTCTTAAATTCAAAATGGCACCAGTGAACTAATTCATCAACTTCATAAAGAATCAACATGTATAAGTGCCTATTTGGAAGTCTGTTTAGCACCAAAAAATGAACGGCAATGGGTAAAACCATCACACATTTTTGTATGATCCAATCTGCAACTGCAACTTGAAAACGTGGCACCCATAATACTTTGGCAAAAATGTGAAGCTAAATGATGATTATTTTTATAAATAAAAATGATAACGAGAGTGATGTTAAATTAAGAATTTACTACAAAATGTTTTATTAGGTATATCAGTCGTGTGGGGCATATATATCAAATTGAATTCAGATATTATCCTTGAACCATTGATTCTTTTGAGAACCATAAAGATACAAATCCTTGAGCAAACAAAACAAACTTCCAAGCACCAACATAACAAAACGGAGAATATGAATTAAGATAAACTGATGTCTTATCAAACCTACAAAGGACTGGCATATTATTCATCAAAGGAATGTTAAAATACATCATAACCAAAAGATAATATAAAGTCTCAAATCATGCCCCAAGAAACAAGATATGAGCAGATATAAAATATCTTCCTAGCAGCCCCTCTCACACTAGAACACTCCATGCTCCAATCCTGCAATGAGAAACAAAGGGTAAGGATAAATCAACAGTGAGGATTCGTATCTCGAACAAATAGTCCATAAAATGATTACTTGATTATAAACTTTAAATATACTTACATATTTTGTTGAAGGCTACAATGTCACAGCTCTGGACATACTCATTAATTGGTTCAACAGTAAGTTGTTCCTCAATAAGAGTGTCAACAGAGACCAGGTCATCAACAATTGTTAGCATTATTTGCAATTTCTTTATTCCATACCCAACAGCTACAAGTTTGGCTGCAGAATCAACAAGATAATAAAAAACCAAATTATGAACATAAAGGTTGGTTTAGAATCAATCAAGAGGACTAAAAACTTCATAACATTGACTTCCACATTGCTAATGTATTAAGAGCATATCAATGGCCAAATTTTGTTGCTAACTATGGTTAGAAAATCTGGCCCTTAGCTTATAACTGCAATTAACTTAAATGAAAGAACTTACATGCTCCCCAATGCAAGCCTTCAATGTGAACACTTCTTACTGCCTCCTCAAGCTTTTTCATGTCAGTTTCATCATCCCATGGCTTCACATCCAACAGGACTGATGACTTTCCAGCTGACAATGGAAAAATAAAACAACAAACCTTTAGAACGAAAGAAATAACCGTGAAAGGGGAAAGGAGATGGATATATTAAAGGGCAGAAAACAAGATAGGAAACAAATATGAAAGGGCTGAAAACAAGATAGGAAACTAATATGAGAGGACTAATATGAGAGGGCTGAAAACAAGATAGGAAACTAATATGAAGGGGATGAAAATCAGATAGGAAACTAACATTCTTTCTTTTTTGTAGATGCCTTGATGGAAGCTGCACGCTCTTCAGCAGCCTTCTTCTCTTCTTCAGTCTCTTCACCAAACAGATCCACATCATCATCATCGTCTTCAGCAGCTGAGGCCTGAAAACCGTATCACATTCTAACACATGAGCATAACAATTGTATGCAATTTCTTAAAGCGGATAAAGCAATAATAGCCCAACCCTAACATTCCACATTATAAGCAAAAAAGCAAACAGACATCCAAATAAGAACTCAGTAAATGGGGCAGAAAAATGCTTGCCTTTGTATCAGCCACAGGAGGTGTAGCAACTGCTTCCTCTGTGATGGGAGCAGATCCCTCAACAATGACACCAGAGCCTTGTCCAGAAACACCACTACAATAACAGACATAATCAAATAAGTCAAAGATTTAACCCAAATATATGAGCTTTGACGAAATCCATCATAATCTAATAATAAAGATAAAAGAAACCCATCACAAGTTATAAGAACTTACGAAATCCTAAGAAGTGCAGTGATATGGTTGTACCACCGAGACACGTTCACAAATTCTGATGATGGAGGCTTTGAAAGAGCTGCATGGACAATGAGATCATCCTTTGAAGCTTCGTAGCCAGTGATGTAACTGCGGGCAAGCAAGTAGTCATCTAATTTCTTCAGGCCAACAGCCGAGTTTATGTCATGGAATGTGACTGCCATTGATAAGCCTTTTTGTGATTTTCCTACAACCCAGATACAAAAAATTTAGTCTTTCATCCATGGATGAGTTACAACTTACATACCCACTGATAAGTGCCAAAATCAGCCAACTAATCTAATGCGTGTTACTGACAAAATAAGTGTTTTTGAAGATTTTATTCTGGAAAAATTTATCAACCATTGAAAATCTAAACTTTAACCAAACTGAAAATCTAAGAAAAACTAGAAAACTGTTTCAATTTCAAACACTAAAGAGATTGATGAATCATATAGTCTAAAAGACTCTGACTTTATCAAAAGTAAGGAGGATATTGAGCAACGGATCTGAGCTTACCTTAAGCAGGAGGAGCTACTACACAGAGAGGAGGAGAGAGAGATGACCCGTTAGGTTGAGATTATTTCTCTAGGGTTTCTATAGGCAATTACAGGTCTCCGGATATAATGAGTCATCTAAATGGGCCGGGCCGGGCTGAGCCGACACAGGTTACGGCCCAACATGTTTAAATCAGTAGAACATAACATGACATGAAAACGACGTCGTCCAAGTCTTCGGCTTGCTGTTAGTAAATCCTAGCTTGGCAATAGCACTTTCAGTGCCTTGGTGGGGCTCCAGCCGTACCCAATTCGATCAGCGTTAGAAAGAAAGAGAAGAAGAAGAAGAGAAGAGAAGAAAGTGATGCCGAAGAGAACAACACACACGTATTCGAGCGAGGACGCAGCTCCAGATGGACCTGACTCTGATATCTTCGTCTACTACTGCAAGCACTGTGGATCTCACCTACTCATAACTGGTTCTCTCTCTCTCTCTCTCTCTCTCTCCTCTCTCTCTCTCTCTCTCTTGATTGTAGTTGGGTTATTGTTTGAGCAGAAATTAATATGTTTCAAAAAGAAATTGGTATAATTGCTCATTTTAATTGGTATTGTATTTTTCATAATGGTTGTTGTTAAAAGAGAGTTTGTTGAATAATATTTTTGGGCAAGCAGTTTATATTATACTGAAGTGTGTGTCGTATAAGATACCCAGTTGCAGAAAATGCCCAAAAGGAAGACTGACAAAGCTTATGTGTTGGACAAGAGCAAACATCTTGCAAGGCTTAACATTGCTGAGGCTGGAAAAGTTGTATTGAAAAGGTTCTTTTTCTTCTTCTAATGAAAGTATGATATCTTTAGTGTTATACAGTTTGTAAGAAGAAGAAAACAATTGGGTTTTTACTGATGTGTGTTAACAGTGGCTGATCAACTGCCTTCAGTTTCTTGTACCTCAGTTTGTCTGACAGTTTCCGAGAAACTATTTTGTTTCTGCACCTTTTCATACGTATGTTCTTCCTTGAGATTGTCCTGTCAGTGCATTATGTTATTCAATCAAGATAGAGTTTAATGATTTTTTTCAAGTACAATTATTATGTGATAGTATCATCGTAGTTCATATTTTGAAATCTTGATCGTTATTAATCCAGGGGTGAGGGGAAAATGGAGAAGCAATTTCGTATGAACTGTGTGGGTTGTGGACTCTTTGTTTTCTATCGCTCGGAAGAAGATTTGGAAGGTGCGTCTTTCATTTATGTTGTTGATGGTGCTCTAAGCACGGTTGCTGCTGAAACCAACCCACAGGTATAAGGTAGTTTATAAAGGCTTTGTGTCATCGTCTGTTGACTTGATTGTGAAAAAAACTATCTCGCATTCTCATATTTAGTTTGCATTCAGAAATTGGGTTCCTTCTTATAAATTAAGGGAAATAGGAGCTTATTTCTCATTGTATCCAACTGTTGGGTTGTAAACATTTTGGGAAACTATTAAGAAAGTTTGTCTCTGCTTGAGCATGGCACTGTCTACTACAGTGTGATCCAAATTTCCTAATTGGGTAGTCTGATATGTGATGTAGGATGCTCCTGTGCCACCCTGCATTTCAAACCTAGACGGGGGACTCGTTCAAGTGGCTATAGAAGTGGAAGACCGTGCACAACGGTCAGCAATCACAAGTAAAAGAAATTTTTAATGTATTTCTGTCATATTTTTAGCATGCAACTCGTTACTTCAAATGGAAATCATAAGTCAATTCGTGCATATACTTCTTTTGATTTTTTTGGATTTTGTGTGTGCTGAGCACTAGTCCTTGCTGACTTTGTTTGATATCTATACATATACCTCTATGAGGGCTGTGTTCACTTCGCCAAAAAAAAGATTTTTTTTACCAGAAATTTAAATGACTGATTATATTTTAAATTATTGGTTCCTTGACATAAATTTCATGTTCCCACTTTTTTCTCTTATGACAGGAGTGAATGCTGATGATGTTAGAGTTACTGTGGCTGCACCTGCAGCTCGGGGAGAAGCAAACAATGAACTCTTGGAGTTCATGGGCAAAGTATGATTCTGTTTCATCTTAGGCTGTTTAACCTAAGAAGCCAATCTTTTCGAACGTGTAAATCTAATACTTGCTTTTTACACAGGTGTTGGGTCTGAGACTAAGCCAGATGACTCTTCAGAGAGGGTGGAATAATAAATCAAAACTCCTTGTGGTGAGTTAAACAAGTTTTACTCTCTCTCTCTCTCTCTCTCTCTCATGGGTGTGGGTGTTGGTGGCAGCTTGGGTGTATCATATTCTGTTTCAAATGTGCCTATGTTGAGGAGAAAATTATCATTTTCGTTATAAAAAAATTCAGAGCATTGTATACAATAATTTTGCTGCCATGCACTATTCCCCGATTTACTGTATTGTTGCACAAACATTTCTACTTTGGCAACATAGATAAAAACAAGACATGATATTTCTTCCTTATCTAATTTATTCGACTGCTTATAAAATAAGAGCAACTACAATTCATTTAGGGAACCTCACTTGGGCGGCATCCTGATAGAAGCTATGTATACAATAGACCCCTGAATTGTGTATGAGTTATGATGCCAATTTAACTAAGAAACTGCTTAAGCTGATCTTGCTTGGCCTTCTTCATTATCATTTGGTGATTATTGCAGGTGGAGGATTTGTCTGCTAGGCAAGTATATGAGAAACTTCTGGAGGCTGTTCAACCTTGAGGTTGTACAATTTACATGTCAATTGTAATGAAAGATGAGATCCATTCAACTTGTACGTTTACCCTGGTTGATTGCTACTGCAGTCTTTTCTGGTATATCAAACTCTTTTATTGTACAAGCTTGATGGCTCTCTCTTGTTGACAAAGGCACTGGTGGGTGTAATCTTAGTGTTTCTTTTATCACTGCCTGCAAGTAGGGGAGATTTCCAACATCCGATTCCTCAACTAGTACCAACAACCGATTTTATCTCCACCCTGTGCTTGTTGAATATGTCGGGATGGTTGACGAGCTCAGCTACTGCCCATTGCATGGCCTCTGCTGTGGTAGCAGTACCTCCGATGAAAAGATCCTAACATAATGGTAAATTATGAATTGATCAGAAACAAGATATGGTTTGAAAATTTAAAGGATTGAAATCGCTTACAAGCAAGAAAGCCTTCACATGAGTTCTGGAAATCTTGACCTCGGCTTTGTCATCTTGATAGGCCTTCAATAGTATATCCATCAAATCTTTATCTTCTCTATCCCAACCCTCTCTCTCTGCTCTCTCTTCATGCTGCTTCAGCATCCCCTCCAAAAGTTTATCATACCCCATGGTCACATCCATGAGCTGCTTCCCATAAAACCAACCTCTTCAGTGGGCCCAACACATCCCCAAAACAAACCTAGTAGGGTTAAACTAGAAAACAAAATAAAATCCTAATTACACAATATCTTTACAAAAAGAAAGAATTAGAGTTCTAATATACTAGAAAATAAATCTTTTAATTAAACTAGGATCTCACTAACACTGATAGGACCCAATCCAAATTCCACTTTGGAATCTACGTCGAACCTTGTGCATGTCCAACACCTGGCCAGTGTTGGGCATACTTGACCAAATTACCCTTCTAACTAAAACTCAAAAATTCTTTTAATGTTTGACTTCTGCCGAAAAATTAGCAGAGTCTCCCGATAAATCGGACATTTCCCAATAAATTTCCACCTGTAAAATATCCAATTAATATTGAAAACCAAATCTCAATCGTTCAACATACATCAAACAAATAACTCTGAATGGCCTCAAGCCTCTTTATACCAAATAAGTAATTATGTCATCTAAATCTGGTCTTAACTCTTAGAATGACATGAATACTTTATCAAGTTTCAATATGACCTAACTGAACAAATTTTCAGCACTTGATCTTGTGGTTGCACTTAGTAACTCTAGGTTGCGTACATACCCTTATCAAGGGATCAAGCTACACGTAGTTTTTTCATACCTCCCTAAACCAAAAGCTTCAACTCTAATTAATCCTCTGCAACTTAACCAAAAGATTTTGATTCTAGAACAACCTTCCACCCATCACATATGTGCATATGCAAATACACACATATATATATATATATAGCTCATTACAAATAAGTAGGAAAACGAGAAAATTATTAAAATAGCATTGGCCACGTGAAACCTAAATGTCAATATCAACGGTTTAAATAAAATATGCTTCCATCTTTCACATGTAAAACAAACTCGTCACTTAAGAAATTATTTGTAAATTGTATAAAATCCTTGAAACTTAGAAAACCCTCAATCATTGTCTCATAAATCGGAAAACATGTATTAAAACTTTTACCAATAAATACTAAGATAAAATCATCAATTTTAGTTTAAAACATTTCAAAACTCAAATACTCTCCACCTAGACATACCTCCATTCATAATCCGTCAATTCCACTAATATTCTATCAATTTCAAATAATATTTTGTCAATTCTAAGTACCATGTATGTTACAACCTCGCAGAACTCAGCCGATGCTCTGATCTCGTGCCAAAACCAACCTGCCGGGGCATCATCATGGCTATTTTCGGAGCGTGGGATCTGGCGCTAGTGTAATTTTCTTTTCCTCATAAGCGAAAAACCAACAAATTGGTGGCGAGGTAGGCAGTCCACATCACAGAGCGTCCCAACAACGCTCTAGAACAGTACATTATCCTCTGACAAAATCACAGCAGCCACACGTTTCCTGTGTCCCGGACAACCAAGCGCAGACGGCACATCTACTCGCCTCAGAAATCACCCATCCACAACTTGTTTTTCCAAATTCCCAATCTACCCTTCAGACACTAGCCCGCCAGAGGCCCAAACGAGCCTGAACGCGAGTACACAAAATATTAAGAACTCAGGCACGTACTATAATCCCCAACATTGATGCTCTTTCCATTTTCTAATTGCCACGTTTGACCCACATGATACAGATAAGGCCAATTTCCAATAGGTTGCTAGACAACAAAAAACACGTAGCCAAATGGCGCCAAAACCCAACAAATTGGATTGAATTTGATGCTTCACAAGAAAACGGTTGTATTCTTATCCACAGAAAAATGTCACGATTCTTCAAGAAATATGTTAGATGCAATAAAACCAAAAAGCTTTAACAATTTATTTTATTTTTATTAGCCTCTCCGCACGCGCTTCCGCGTCTGTGATAGGCTTTTTAAAAAAGAAAATTAAATTTATTTTATAATTAAAAAGATAATGAGTAGTTGTGTTTCATAAAAATAGGATTCATTATTTGATTTTTCTTTCAATTTTAATTTTTTTAATATGAAAATGTGTGAATTTACCATATTATCCTTATTTAATTAATAATTTTAATTCTTAATATTTGGATTAACAAAAGGCATTATAGTACTTCAGTTATTTTGTTTCTTTTCCTCTTTTAGTTTTCCATATTCCAACTACCGTATATGTATGATCCAATGCAAGATTTGCCCATTTGTCTATTCTGTTTCATTCATTAGCAACCTTCAATTATTTTGTTTCTTCTTTTATTTATGTAATTTTGTTTTTTTTTTATTATAAAGTTTTTCACATTCCAACTACTCTATGATCCGCAGATGATTTGACCATTATCTATTCAGCTTGATTTGTGTTTTTATAACCAATCTTTGCTTCAATCTCTTCTTTTATTTTATCACTTACTAGTAACGAAGACAAAATTGAAGAATTTAACCTAACGCATTATGACACTTTTAACCTTAAAAAAAACATGTTCTAACTCAAGGCGATAATGCAATAATGACAAAACATTACTCGCACAAAAACAAAATATATTATTAAGAATCCTTAAAAGTCCTAAAATAAGAAAAGGAACACATGAAACGACTAGAACCATGACATATTTAACTTCTATACTACTCAAAATATAATCTTAACCACATTGTAAAATTTGAGTTGCATACACATAAAGCAATAAATGCGTACAAGTGTATACAAAAACCCTCTTCTAATACCTACTTTATTGCAAAAGGCCCACAAATGTAGTGGTTTGGAGCAATTGCTTCTTCAAGTAAGGTTATGAGTTTGAGTCTTAGCACCCGTTTAAAGTGTGAATTTAGTATATTATTGCCCCTCTCAATAAGAAAGGTCCTAAATTTCTTTTTTTTTAAACCCTTATTTTATGGTCACCTAACCAATAATTCATAAATCTGGTGCATATAAAGAAATTTCCCGAACTCACACTAAAATTCCTATTGAAAAAAAGCAAAAACTCATACTAAAATAAACAAATCCCACTAAAAGCTCGCATGGTCCGTGACACATAAGAAATTTCATGCAATGGAGATAACACTGTTTTACTATTTTCGACTAATAACACAATGACACGTAGTGTTATTAGTCGGATAGCAAAACACTGCTATGTTGTTACAAGTAAGGTTTTTTTGTTGATGCACGACAGCTCTGTAATAGAAAAAACTATCTGTCGTCAAAATTTTCCGTTTCCAAATTTGGCATCTCAGTCTTTAAAATTTCTTACTTGACGGACCAAAATTAGAACGCCAAGACATCACCACCTACATTTTCTCGGAAAATCTTTCCCCATTTTCTCGGGAAAATCTTGCGAACTTTGCATTTCAGAACTGGTGGATCAGATTTTCGAATCGTCTCATAAACAAGGAGAAGCTTGATCTGAGTGAAAAATCATACCTCCATTGTTTAAAACGGAGCTCTTGTTGCCCCTATTTTAGGTTCGGCACTCGATTAAATTGAAAGGGTTTCGTGTAAAAATCAGCATAGGAAAATCACAACCGAGTAATTTTTTCGGTTGGTAAGTTCAGAGGAAGTTGAAATTCTCGATTTTTTTACTTGAATTTCTCTTCTGTATTTTCGAAATTGTGTTTGGTTCTCTGGTCCTGAGGCTTGGTAGCTCAGAGGAAGAGAGAGGATGACGCTCGATTCGATGCCAGGGAGCTCAGGGTACTTGGATTTGCATCCAGAGAGGAAAATGTTCTATTTCAAGAATCCTTACATTCTCCGTTTGACTGTTGTTGCTGGGATTGGTGGGCTTCTCTTTGGCTACGACACAGGTACTAACTGCAGCCAATTCTTACTCTTATAGTTGTGATACAAACTCTCATAGATATATACATACGTGTCTCTCTATGTGTATACTCGTATTTATACATGCCCTGTACGTATATACTTGTATTTAAACTTACCCTGTACGTATAATTAGTAACAGGATAAAAATTTGGGTTTGATCACGGTGCCATAGTTATGGGTTCTGTTGCTGTTTTTTGTTTTAATTTTCTTTTTCTGTTGCTGTTGTTTGAGTACTAAGTTATTGAATAAGCTCAAGGATTAATCAAATTTCTGTTGTGTGGCATTTCTTCTTTTCTTTAAGTTCAAATTTAACAAGCATTGTTTAAGAAGTAATCTTACTTTCCCTCCATTATGATTGGGCAATTTTGTCCTATCTTTTTTTCTGTGTGTGTTAAGAATTAACGACTGCACTAAAACTTATGCAAATGTAACTAAGATCATATCATTTGTGCTTGTTCATATTTGACTTGCATAAATCCTGCTAGGGGGCACCAATAAAAATGAGTTGGTTGGGTATGTAAGATTTTATCACTTGTGCTTGTTAATATTTGACTTCCATAATGCTTTGCAAGTCAAGCACCAAATTGAAATTTTACCTATATTTTATGGATGCAGAATGCAATTAACCCTGATTTTGAATCTGTGGACTCTCAAGGTTTATATTCTGTATTCTGCCTTTCCTTAGTAGGCCCTTTACCTTCTTTCTGAGAATATACTACGTATGAACTTGATATCAACATGGTTTAGCGGCCGCCCTACTTCTCTTTAGTTATACAGCTCTCACTTCTTTTTTCTTTTTCTTTTTCTCTGAAGATGTTTTCACATTGGTGATATTGATTGCAGGTGTGATATCGGGGGCACTTCTGTATATCAAAGATGATTTTGAGGCTGTGAAGGACAGTAGTTTCCTTCAGGTACAAGCATTTAATTGTTATGGTAAAGCTTTCTCTTGGAGTGGAGATATCACATGGTTCTGATTTTTGTCAAGAGTGAGAAGAGTACAGGGAAATAGGACCATTTCTTTTTCCCTAACATATGGTTGAGAGGGGATCAGAGTAGGGGAAGAGAATGAGCTTTACCTGATTTTGTTTGTTAAATTCTTTATAGCTGCAAAAAGAAAAAAACGTAAACATTCATGCCTTTTCTTCTTTGAATCACTCTGAGTATTTAAGTTGGCAGGAAACAATTGTAAGCATGGCCATTGTTGGTGCTATAATTGGGGCAGCTGCAGGGGGTTGGATTAATGATGCTTATGGACGTAAGAAGGCTACTCTTCTTGCTGATATTATATTTACTCTTGGGGCGATTGTCATGGCTGCTGCTCCAGATCCATATGTTCTTATATTGGGGCGACTTCTCGTCGGCCTCGGTGTGGGTGTGGCCTCTGTCACTGCTCCTGTTTACATCGCAGAGGCATCCCCATCAGAAATAAGGGGAGGACTAGTGAGCACGAATGTTCTTATGATAACTGGTGGCCAGTTTCTTTCCTACCTTGTTAATCTCTGTTTTACAGAGGTTAGAATTATCTTACTTAGCCATTTGTTTTCCTTTCATCATCTTCCAGTACTTATTGAATAACGTGTTTATACTTTCCTCAAAGAAACCTTATTTCCCTTGGAACCAATAGTTTGTTTTTGTTATTCTAGTATTACATTGGAATAGTCTTTCTGCGAAGTGTTTTTGGCTTTTAGTTACAACATTTTGGGGAGCTGTGGCTACCAATTGGCTGTGTTTAATAAGGTTATTTTGTTTCTTTTATTTTACCACTTCATGATTTATTCACCGGGATTGAGGTTTTGTAATGCTTATCAAATTGCGCAAATTCAGAAGAGAAACTTCTTCTTTTTTGTGTGCTTATCATAATTGTGGATGTTTCTTACATAAATTAGTCAACCTGCCCGATTCTGCAAGAGGTTAGACAACTAAGATGTTCTTTCCATAAAAAAGAGGAAACAAATAGCTAATTAAAGAAATTGACCATTATGTGAATTTGAGCATATTATGTGAATGGTTGGGTGTTATATATGTTGGTCTCATTTTCACTTGGTCAAAGTAGGATCTTGGTTTTCATAGAATCTGAAATGGAAAATGAGATTTTTCCCCATTAAAATTACTGAATGACAGGACAGTGAAGATGTACTTGAAAGATTATCTGATAATTGATCATGAGATGTTGAGGGTATGAATCTCTGCCATTATTGTTTTGTATATATCTTTTATTTGCTCCAGTAGAAATTCAAACTGATTTTTTAAAACAATAAGCAAAAGTTATTGTACTTGTCTTTTATGCAAAAGTTATTGTACTTGTCTTTTATGCAAAAGTTATTGCAGGAGAAAGGTTCCACTTTTGCAGTTTTGAAGGGGCAGCATCAGGATAAGAGTTTGGGGCTGAGAAACATTACTGAAGGAATCTCTTCTGTTCTTTCCTGTCTAAGTTAGATAATGCATGGTGCTTTGATTGTTGAAAGCATGCTAGTACTTAGTGTAGTGTATCTGATCAAGGAAGAACAGCTTATTTTTCTTCACTTAAAGTTATTAGCAACAGTTTACGTTGTCATGCTAGAGTTAGAAGTTTTATTAATGTTATTATTCCACTTTACTGTGTCTGGAAATAAGAAAAATATGGATTCTTCTTTTCATGCTTTTACTTTTCTTCAAAAAAAAAAAAAAAAAAAAAAAAAAAAAAAAAAAGGAAAAAAAAAAGAAAATGAATCCTCGTTGGAGCTTTGAAGGTGAAGAAACAAGTCATTAAATCACAGTTTTCAAGTATAAGGCTGGAAATTTGTTGGAGGACAATATCTAGTTCTTCACATGCTTTTTCTTTTGCTTAGTATTGTGTTGCATGTATAGTTTCAAGATATTAACCAGTACAAGTAACACAAATATGAGTAGTTCTGAAATATTGTACATTTTAAATGTTTGCTTGATAAACTGAATGACATTAATGTTTTATATGCAATCTACTTGGGAGTTTGATCACTGCCTTCTAAAGTGTTGATATCATATTTCATATGTTTACTTAGTGTTTTTGGCATTGGTGCATGGGTTAGTTTAATTTGTGTAACTTTCTGTGGCATGATAGATCTCACTTTCTCTTATTCCATATTAACACCGCTGTGCCAATGCAGGTCCCTGGGACATGGCGATGGATGCTTGGAGTATCAGGTGTTCCAGCTGTCATTCAGTTCTCTCTCATGCTCTGTCTACCAGAGTCTCCTCGATGGCTTTTTATGAAGGTAACTTATCACTCCATGGGTTGAGAAAGTATGGAGAGAATGCGATACATCAATCATAATCAAAACCAAATCATTTTATCACAAGACTAGATAACACCGTAAACAAACTGGGTAACCAATTTTAGTATTTATGATTACAGTATCACTTCTTTCTTGAACACTCGCTCTCAAGCTGGAGCATTGACGATCATGCCCAACTTGTTACATACCTCATGAATAACATTAAGAAATTAAAAATATAAAAGAGCTTAAAAGTATTAAAAAGGAAACACAAAAGTAAATTGGATTTGTGGTTGTGCCTTAAACTTTGAACTAAAACTTTGAAATCTTTGGATGTTAATACTCTATTTGAAGAATAACTAGAAATGTTATTGCCTACTTTAAAAACTTCGGGTTATGTTCCTACAAACTTTATGACTTCATAAGCCTGTATTCACAAAACGACATAGGTAGGCATCACATGCCTTGCCATTTCAACAACTTACACATAGTTACAAATTAGATGGAATTATGCGCCTTCAAGATATAAAGACATCACATGTCTTCATAAAACCAGACCTGCGCATGCTCTCCCACACGCACATACGCAGTATAATTTAAATTAAGACTGATGATGAAGAAAAGGTTGAGAAAAAACTGTGGATAGTAATATGAAAGTGTATATAATGTGAAAAAGTCAACTGGACAACTTGTTATGAAACTGCCAGGCAGGAGGATGGAATTTGCGTAACTATAAAGCTAAAGCAGTTTTTATGCTCTACTCTATCCTCTCCTCCAGCAGTTTCTTTCTTCATGCATAATCAATTTAAATTTTTTATCTTAATTTGCAGGATGATAAAGAAACAGCCATTGCTGTGATGTCCAAAATTTATAATTTGTCTCGCTTAGAGGACGAAATAGATTACCTCACTTCTCAAGCAGAGGAAGAGCACCATAAGAAGAAGGATGTTAGCTACTGGAATGTTTTCAAAGTAAAAGAAATCAGACTTGCTTTTCTGGCTGGGGCCGGACTTCAGGTAGGGTGAGGTGTTTATTTGAAATACTCATGTTACCAAACTAGGATTTCATTCTTGTTTCTAGAATGCCATGGAACACTAATTTCACTATATGTTGCTACTTCAACTTGGTAGATTTCCATTACATTTAAAGATGTATGTGAACTAGTTCTTTTGTTTCAGTCTTGTTAGGGTTCTGTCGCAGGTTGCAACTAATTGTCGTTCATACTTCATAGTACTTCAGAAGAAGTGAGCATTTCCATGATTTCCACTAATTATTTATGTGGGAAGTTACCTTTGAAAATTATGACTCCTGCAGTTGCTTTTTTCTTTGCTCATGGCATTTCTAAAGGCTTAGGTTCATTCATTGTGTGATATAAAACTGCACAGGTTCCATTTGTAGTTCTAGTTCAAGAAGTTCAATTCTTTTCTTCTTTTTTTCTGAACTTTCTTTCCCTCCAGTCTCACTGAATCTTCTTTTTTGTATTATTGATGTAAAAAAATCAGGAATTCCATTCGCTTAATTTGCTTTAAAGTGCATGATCTCATGTGTTGACAATTTGTTCTTGTTCAGGCATTTCAGCAATTCACTGGTATCAATACAGTCATGTACTATAGCCCAACAATTGTGCAGATGGCTGGCTTTCAGTCCAACCAGTTAGCTCTTTTACTGTCCCTTATAGTGGCTGCCATGAATGCTGCTGGGACAGTTCTTGGCATTTATCTCATTGACCATTTTGGCCGGAGAAAGCTGGCCCTCTCGAGCTTAAGTGGTGTTATTGTGTCACTTCTCATCCTCTCGGCTGCTTTTTTTGTTCAATCATCTGGTTCTACAAGTGTATTTTATGGGTGGCTTGCAGTTATAGGTTTAGCCCTGTACATTGGTTTCTTTGCACCGGGGATGGGACCTGTGCCATGGACCGTGAACTCAGAGATATATCCTGAAGCATATAGAGGGATATGTGGGGGAATGTCAGCTACTGTGAATTGGATATCGAATTTGATTGTGGCCCAGACATTCCTTTCAGTTGTAGAATCTGTTGGAACTGGTGCAACTTTCTTGATCATTGCGGTTGTGGCTGTTATTGCATTTGTCTTTGTGATTCTGTTCCTACCTGAGACAAAGGGCTTGACATTCGAGGAAGTGGAGAGGATTTGGAAGGAGAGGGCTTGGGGCAGCAGTGGTTCAAACACACAGAGCCTTCTTGAGCAGGGAGATGAGTCTTAGGTGTTACAATTTTGCATATTCTGATAGAACTGCTAGCTGTGCTTGCTGTAGAATACGAACTTGCATCTTGTTTCAATATGTATATATCCTCACATATTCTCAGTACTTGCTTGAAGATCAGCTTTCGACTAGTAAGTCTGGTCCATTGTGCCCCATTGCCCCTTGAGAATTTCTGCATTGGCAGGATGTCATTTTGGGAAGTTTATTCTAAAAACTAGTCTGAGGAATTATCGATTACTGATCCTAATAAACTAAGATTAACCATTAGCAATAGACGCGGGTTAGGCCATTTGGCCAGAGAAGTGAGCCTGCCCTTTTGCACCCAAGTTTGAATCCTCCTTCCCGTAGGTTAGATTGATTTAGAGTAATTTAGACTATTTCTTGTATTGAAAAAAAAAATTAAAATAAAATTAACTACTAGCAAGAGAGGACTAGAATTAACAAACCTTAGTTGGACGTTTTCTTTGCCCCCCTAAGTAGAAGAACCAGATAATGTACAAGTTCTTGGCTATGGTATGTCTGACAATAACCATTTTGACTATAATCTCTAGGATCTATCTGAACCATGACCAACTTCATATGGTAACTATTTAGATTTGAAATTAGCTAAACAAGATAAAAACCAAATGAACAGAGTACGAGTGAGAAGAAAAGGGCAAAGATAAAAATAAAATAAACTTGTATCAATCCCCATTTCTAGCCTCAGTATTAAAAACAAACACTATAACATAGTTCTTGGCTATATGTGAAGCTCCCTAAATACGGAAGAAAATCAAACACAAGTATCTAGTAAGCTTGTCCATTATACTAACAAATGTTTCAAGGATAATAATAAATTCCAAAGGCCGATTATAACATGGCATTTTATAAAAGAACCCTTCAAGTCCAATACTTTAGAAAATCTTCATGATGTACATTCGAGTGACAAAATTGTAACATAAAAACCAATTAGAAATGACAAGTGGCTAGTTGAGGTTTTTTTAAAATCCAAATAACATGCGTTTCAAGCAAAATTTTAGTGGGCTTTAGCCGTACGACATCGAAGTCTCATCTTCTTCCTCACACCACAGGCTACAAAGCAAGTTTTGATACAACTTGATACCATTGCGTTTGTTTATGTTGAAGCAAATTTCTTCTTACAAGTAATCTAACTGCTAGGGATTAAGTAATGGGAAGACATATTGATGGATAAACATAAAAACAAGGTCGATACACATCTGACCATATTAGTCCAACTACTTTCTCGGGATCTTTGTGTGGGCTAATGTCGTGAAGAAGAGGGCTCGCTTGTCTATCATCTAAGCCAGCCTTGTGTTTGTTTACCGCTAGTGTTCGTGTTCGTGTTCGTGTCATTGCAGGTACGACTAGCGCAGATGGCACAGTACAACTACATTTTAGTTGTGGGTGAGGAGGAAATTAAAGCTTTCCATTAACATTCTTTTTTCTTCTTTTTTCCTTTTTTTTTCTCCTCCTAGGTTTTGTTTCTGATGCTCTCTCAACTCAACTTGTTGAGATGAGCCTACTATTGAGGATGCTATAATAATATGTTAATAATTCTGTGTGTTATGCTGTTGCTTATGGTTTGTATTGGCCTTGTCTTTTCACCTCATTTTCTCTCAAAATAATTTGCATCCTTTGCTTGTTACACACGGCAAAGCAATAATCAAGCTGTAGTAGATTAGTATACATTGCTTTTTTCTTTTCTTTTTAAATTTAAAGCTTGTAGCAAAGGACCCACTAGTGTAGTAGTTTGGAGCCAATGTTCCCCCAAGAAAGGTCTAGTATCCGTGTAATGTCCCCTCTCAATTTTGACGAAAAAACAAATAGGATTGACATAAATTTTTTGAAGGAAAAACAAACATAATTAACGGAAAGTACATGTGGTGCAACTTGAGATCTAATTGGAGGGTGGTTGGAGCTATTTTTGGAGATTCGGGACGAAAATATAACTCGGGGTATCGTTTAGGGACCATTACAACAATTAACGGAGATGAAGGATAAAAATGTAACTTGGGGTATAATTTAAGGACTATTGCAATAATTAAGCAAAAAAAAAACGATTAAGTAAGCCAAGAATACCAATCTATTAGACACCAAAAACAAACATGGGAAACATAATTTGCTTCATGTAACAATTCCAACAAACTTTTGATACAGTTTGTTCTTCAACACTTTATGCCGCCAACATAGCAACCATTTGGATTTAGACATTGTCCATGAAATTGAATAGAATTGGACTGGTCAATTTAGGTGAATTGGGTTGGTTTAGGGTTCAAACCAATTGAAAAAGTAAAAGGGGAGCAAGGAAAGGTCAATTTCAAGTTTTTCTGGTTTGTTCACCTGGATCAACCTTCAAAATCACCCCGCAAACTTCTTGCAGTTTGAATTGAACCAATGTTTGTCGCATGCCTACGCGTCCGTATGGTTTAAATCAATAAACCTCTCAACCAGGTGCAAGGCCGCCCAACAGTAGCAATATTATTATTTCAAGGAATCAAAATTTGTTTCCTTCCACTAAATGCCAGTGCAAGCGCTCACATTTGATTTCAATTTGTCTTGCACTCACTAGTTAATCACCTTGTTATATCCTATTTCAAATGCCCTTTAATCACAAGAATCATTCTCTAAACCTGTTATTATTGGGAAATTGTGAAAAGTATCCCAATTTTGGACATGTTAAAGACTTTTAACTCATTTTTTTACTTTTAGAATTTTAACCACTCAAAGCTCCCAAAGGGGGGTCGACATTACTCGAAGGTTCTCTAGAGGGCTCGAACACTTCTCCAGAGAACCTCGAGTGACTAAATCTTTAGAAGTCATTGACGGGGAGGGCCAACTTATACCTTGGATGATTAAGATCGGCTGCTTCATTGCATTGCATGGTGTGGTTTTTGAATAGTCATCTAGTCAACAACAATTCCACGTCATGCTTTGACTATTCATATATTGTGGTGAAGAAGATATTTTCGGGGTTGAGATTTGAAGTTCCAAATTTTAGGTGACCATCCTTTGGAAGCTCTGCAAGGTGAAGATGGAGGCATGCTTGTGCTTTTGGAGGCCCTTCAGGTGGCTGATTTTCATAGGGAGAGAGGTTGGAGTGCATCGCTTCTTTGGAATTCAAGGAGCTCAAGAGGCATTTTTGATTTATCAACCTATGTCTAGCAACACAATCATTTTAGGAGGAAAGATTAAAGGAGAATAAGGGTTTATTAATTGGCCCCTTTAAATTTTTCGTATGTCATTTGTCAATATTTTACAAAATACAAAATACATATATTATCATTTGTTAAGATTTCAGAGGGATGGATTATTGGCCCATCACTAGTAACATCGATATTGTCCCCAACTTAACCACTTGTTTAGCAGGTGTGAGGTTTTATACAAAAGGCATCGATGTTATTAGGAGTGGAACCATTTATTATATTGGACTTTCTATTTTGTTAAGTTTCCGATGTGGGACTCGTGTATTCTTCAACACTCCTCTTCATGTGCAACCAATTCCACATCGGTCACTTTTTTTTAAAAAATAATAATAATAATAATAATTATTATTATTATTATAATTATTAAAATTTGGGGTTTATTTGATTTTGGTTCAATTTGGGGGTTTTTGTTTAATTTGAATTAGTTTGATTTGGGTTTAATTGAGCCTAGTCAACGGGCTCGCTCTGATACCATCTTAAGATTTCAGAGGGACAGATCATTGGCCCACCACTAGCAACATCGATATTGTCTCAAACTTAACCATCTGTTTAGTAGGTGTGAGATTTTATACAAAAGGCCTTGATGTTATTAGGAGTAGAACAATTTATTATATGAGACTTTCTATTTTGTTAAGTTTCCAATGTGAGCTTCGTGTATTCTTCAACATAATTGGGTCATGTTGTTTTAGGATCTACTTGTCCTTTTGATTTGCCCTTGGATTTGACTTCTTCAAACAAATGCGGAATGAGAAAAGAACACGTCTCGATTTAGGGCTCTCCTCCCTTGAGTGTAAGGATTTTTGTACATGTGTTATTCGTTGGGAACTTTATGACAAAAAGAATACAAAATAAAAACACAATAGATGATAGTTTTGTAAATCTCGAAGACTTTTTGTTATAAAAGTCGTGTAGAAATTTATTATAAAAATTATCAACAGTTAACCCACACATGTAATTATCTCACTTTTCTCTATTTCTAGTCATAAAATAAAACAAAGAGGGGCTAGATGACTTCGATTTGAAAAAACATTCTCTAGAAAAGGAAAATAATGCATCCTCCCAATTAACAATACATTTCTCCTTAACACATAATGATTATATGGAAGTGGGTGGAGCTTGGCTATTGCTTTCGGATTGATTTGTCAACATTTCATGTCGAAAATCCTTTGTCCTCTCTAGATTTCTAACCAGACTGGGTCTTTGTGATCCGGTATTCATGGAATAATGCTGTTGCCTATCTATATCCCATGTTCAAAAGCCATCGTCAATTTGTCTTGGCTTGAATGCATCTCAATCTTATAGTATAGTCTGCACTTTAATAATGGCTAATATTATACCATTAATTTAGATATTATTTGTCAGCTAAATCAATCATTATGTTTTATTCTAATCCATTCCCACTTGCCACAAAATCCTGCAAATGCCAAGCCACCAGCTCAGCTTTACTGGTAATTTGGCGAGAAAGCCTTTGAAAAAGAGAAATAATATCTTATTAGAGAACTAATGTGTGTATCAAGGCTGCCCTATCTTAGCTCAGATTGAATTCCTAATTTTATACGTAACCATTCCCCATTGATTCGGGTTCTCTGTTTGGATTTTTTTCTGCTAGATAACATTAGTTAGATGTGGATTGAGTCGGCATGCTTAAGATACAATTTTAAATATGTTTAAAACGAATCTACATTTTGAGAAATAAATTCACCTATAAGCATGAATATTGTGCAGAGTTGGATTTGGATAATGTTATTGTTTTTGGAGCTTCATAATCTTGGTAATTCAATGGCTTCAAACATCCAT